AAAGTCCTTACCAAAGAAGCTATAGCACAAAAAAGTAAATGTTTTTAATATGAAGATCTGACCATTTAGAGGGATTGAAGTAAATGTTCTAGACAATATTTAAACTACTGAAATACACTAAGTCAGAAACTATCTGTATTTTAAATATTCAACTTTCAGTTATTTAGAAAAGCTACAGTGCATTTTTAACGTATATTTACAAATAACTTTTAACTAATTTAAAAGTGTCCAGGGCTGTCTCATGTTGAGATCTTTGAGATCTAATTTCTGAGCATTTTCTCCTGTTAAATAGTTATGTGAAATACATGTATAACAAGGCTTCAATTTCTTTATTCAAAATATATGCTTAGGGCTCAAATTTGATCTTATTTATAGAACTATAAAGCAGACATATTTCCAGAACTAAAGTGGTATTGTATGGAACCTTAGGATAATTTTAAAATCATTTTAAGGAAAATGACTGCGCTGGGTGGGCTTAAACAGTTGTCTTTAGGTCTCTGCAGTTCAGGTACCTACATTCTCACTGCAATTAATGAAGAAAAGTGAGCATTTTAAATTCAATTTGACCTGGCTAAGATTCAACTTCAGGATTAAGTGAATTCTAGGAATATTTACTGCATTGTTTCTAAAGAGAACCCAAAATGACTCTCAAATGCAGGCACCTACCTTCAGTTAGATAACTTCTGTTCGTTAATTCACATTTTTAATTAGAGTAAATTATCAGGAAGATGAATAAAATCTGAAAGTGCAGAAAAAGGGCATTCATGAACTCAGTAACAGAGAAGTTACAGCATGCTCACCATGTTGGAATCTTATGGGTAATGCATATGTGCATATGCAGCACAGTTCCTAAGCCTGGATTCAGGAGCTGATTAACCAGGAAGGAATAAGTTTGCTTTAGCATGACATAACAAGTGTGGTATGTTATCGTATATCATGACATATTATTTTGACTGTATATCTCAGAGCCATTCTCCTTTGCCCTATGAGTTGGTGTAAACAGATGAAAATCTCTATTTTTTTTTTTCTTAAGAAGACATGGTTGAAAGTCTCCCCAGGTTAGAGAATGCTGACTTGACCAGATGAAAATGATACCCAGAGTGAATCACTGCCAGGGAATTTGCCTTTCAAAAGTTCTCATCATATTTTGTTAGGCCAGTGTCACTTATGAATCCAAGTATTTTAGTAAAGTGTTATTTGAGATTCATTCTGTATGTAGAGTATTCTTACAGAACATTCACATCTTAGTTTTCTGCGGCACTCTGATACTAAAGGATGCACTTATTCCAAGTGGAAATCTTGAGATTTGGCTAGCTTTTTGGAAGGTGCTTTCTAAAACCATCTGTTTACAAACCTATGGAGTTAGTTGGTCATGATCTAGCTGTACACCCTTGCAATAACTGAGCTATTTCATCTTCATTTTGACTACATTTAACCTAGGATATTAAATTAAATGAAACTTAAGATGTTCTTTTCTGGACTAGCTGCTTCACAGACCCAGCCTCTTGCTGAGATTTGCCCAATAATAGCAAAAGATGGATCATTTATTTCATTGCATTTGCCCATCCCATAAGTCTTTATAATTTAGTCTAAGATGTACTTCTTTTGGCATTCAGGACAACTTTAGATTTTTTATAATTGACAAAACATACCAAAGTATGAAGGACACATTTCAGTAGCGAATGTAGGTGTAACATCCCTTCAGTATTACTCAGTCTGGGGAAGAGGCCGCTGAGGGCTGAGGTGATACGTGGGCAGTAATGAGCAAATAGCAGGAGTGGAAGAGAGCAAGAAATTGTACAAATCCAGTTCACAGGGGGTGAAAGACTACCTCCCAAATGTCTTGGGAAGTGGTTCTTCTTGACTCTGTTTCACAATTGCAGAGTGATGACAGATCTGTCTGACACTTCTTTTCCCTTGTTGGCTATACAATTTTTGCTGCAGGGAATAGACTCAGGCTACTGAGGCATGCCAAGTGCAAGGTCCTACACCTGGGTTGGAGCAATCCCAGGCACAGCTACAGGCTGGGCAGAGAAGAGATTCAGATCAGCCCTGCAGAGAAGGACTTGGGGGTGCTGGTCGATGAGAAAATGAACATGAGCTGGCTTCAGTGTGCACTTGCAGCCCAGAAAGCCAACTGTATCCTGGGCTGCATCAAAAGGAGTGTGACCAGCAGGTCGAAGGAGGTGATCCTGCCCCTCTACTCTGCTCTCATGAGACTTCACTTGGAGTATTGTGTGCAGTTCTGGTGTCCTCAACATAAAAAGGACATGGAACTGTTGGAACAAGTCCAGAGGAGGGCCACGAGGATGATCAGCGGACTGGAGCACCTCCCGTATGAAGATCGGCTGAGAAAGTTGGGACTGTTCAGCCTGGAGAAGAGAAGGCTGTGTGGAGACCTTATAGCAGCCTTCTAGTATCTGAAGGGGGCCTATAGGGATGCTGGGGATGGACTCTTCATTAGGGACTGTAGTGATAGGACAAGGGGTAATGAGTTAAAACTTAAACAGGGGAAGTTTATATTGGACATAAGGAGGAAATTCTTTCCTGTAAGGGTGGTGAAGCACTGGAATAGGTTGCCCAGGGAGGTTGTGAATGCTCCATCCCTGGCAGTGTTCAAGCCAGGCTGGACGAGGCCTTGGGTGATATGGTTTAGAGCGAGGTGTCCCTGCCCATGGCAGGGGGGTTGGAACTTGATGATCCTAAGGTCGTTTCCAACCCTAAATATTCTATGATTCTATGATTCTACTAATCCTCGGTGGGATGTTTTTTCTGCAGTTCCTTCTGCCTCTAACTCTGATGCTCAGTGTGTACTATACTCTCTGGGTATACCTACATTACAGCCAGTGAGGTATCATAGGGATGGTCAAACAGCTTATAGGCCTGGTAGCATTATAGCTGTAGCAGCAGAGACTACTGTCTCAATTACCCCAGAAGCAGGATGAATTATTATTATTAATAATTCTGTTGAGATGCATATTGCTGCATTTTCCAGTACATACGCTAGCTCCAATATAGCATAATGCAGATTGCAATGGAGGAATACTTCAACATATAGAGGAAACTTAAGCTTCTAACAAGTGTCAGGGTACAAATTAGGGATCAAATTAGTTTTAATAATAGTCTAGACAAAGATTAACTGGGGCCAATGTAATTTTATGAATGGTAAGCCAGCCTTTTCACGTGTCCTGCTTAAACTTGATGTCTAGACAGGCTTCAGCTCTGACCTTGCACTCATTATGCTGTTTCTGTTTATCAAGTCCCTTCTTTACAATTTGTTAGATCTCATGTCAGTATGTTATTTGTCTAAGATACTATTAATCCTGAGATACTATTTCCTTCCTAACAGTTGAGTGTATCTGCTAAGCTAGATGGATGTGTAAACACCAGAAATCAGGCAACACAATTAACCTGCCCCACTTCCATACAGCTTTTTAATTTAGAAAGTATACTGTGATACTCTGAGCATCCATTTAGCAGATTTCCCTCCTCTCCCAGCACATGGGAAGCAAATGCAGATTTCAAGACAACAGAAACAGCAGCAAGTCATGTTTACCAAGTATGTACTTATTTTTAAAAGTAAAATCAGAATCACACAATTCATAAAGATGAGTGCATACAGAAGGCACATGATTCTTAGCATAATTCAGTGATCCCAGCTCCTGAAGATCACCACCTAGAGGGCATCATGGTCAGCTTGGGTGCTCCAGGTCACTCGTGCCAGTTAGCTCCAATTTGTTCCAATAGGTAGAAAACATCCCTAGGGATGAGGGTACATGTTTCAAATCCTTTGCTGCCCATGTCTTGCTGCCCCTTACTGGAATAAGGGCATGGGTCCTTTAGTTTTCATTCAACCTTTTGTTCTCAATATCCTGTATTATTTGGTTGTTTTACTTTTCCAGATGTCCGGGATGCCTGCTATCATTTCCAATGGCATTTAGATAGCCTTCTGTTTATAAAGGATCACAGTAGACATTGGACATCTGTGGTAGATCACACTAAGAACTTGACAGCTGATCTTACTCCCTCTTGAGTGCAGAGGGATCTGAGGAATTTTTTTTTTCTTTTTCTCTCTTTTTCCAAAATAGGATTTAGGGTTGAGTTTCTTGTTTGTTTGTTTGCTTGCTTTCTGTGGGGGTTGTTTGGTGGGTTTTGTTTGTTTTTCTTTTTTTTGTTGTTGTTGGAGTTTTTTGTTTGGTTTTGTGGTTTTTTTAAATTTCGTTTTCCTATTGTTGCTTTTTTGTTTTTGTCTCAGCATCTGTCTGCCCAGAATGAGCAGCTGTCAATGAAAACACAGTGGTTCAATTCCATGCGCCTTTCTGCTGCCTGCCTGCCTGCCTGTCTGCATTTTCTCTTAGAAACCATTTTCTCTTTACTTCTGGACCTTAACAGGTTGCTAAGGGAGTGCAGCTGTATTCCAGTCACAGGCCAGTACTCCTCTGGAGCATATTTGAATCTTTTTCAAGGTGCAGTAGTAGTTCTTCTGCATTCATAAATACCTTTCTGTCATTTCTTGCCTAACCCAAAGACTCTCTCAGCACTTTCTCTTCTGTTTTGAAGAATGTATTATTTTTCTGCATTCGGCAGGATGCAGACGGCAAGGCAGAGACATGATTTTGTAATTCTTTCTGCTTTGTTGCTAATAGCGCTGTAAAACCACTCTAAGACAAGTCTTGTGAACTAACATGAAGTTGCTAGAAGTCCTTTCCAACCCTAACTATCCTAAAAACTATGAAGCTATGAAGTGTGTACTCAAACAACATGAAATAACGACTATCCTAGAACGTGTTTCCTAAGCTATATCCTAAATATATCCTAAAGTATATCCTAACATTTGTTTCTAAAAGACACAGTAATAGCTTAACAAACATAGTTATAAACAGAATAACAAACGCAGTAACAGTCATAGTGATAAATAAACACTGCAATAAACACAGGAAGATGGAGCCCAGGGTCCAGCTCCCCACCTGGGGAGACGTGCCGGCAGGTGGGCATTGCTGGCGGGGCTGACGAATGAGCCAGCAAGGCCCCCTGTGAGGGCCAGGATGGGCCTGACGGCACTGCTCTGGCTCCAGGGTGAGGTGGTGGCACCTTCCCTCCAGAGCAGAAGGACACCGTGGCTCTGTCCTCGCTGCCACCAGGGTGGTGCTGGGGCCGCATGGTGGAACCCAAAGGCCAGGCAGCAGGGCTCATCCGGGGAGTCCAAGCAGTACATGGACATCTATAAGGGCAGAGTCAGAAAGCACTGATGAAACCATGAGGGCAGGAACAGGTGGGACTTGGCTCTTCTGGGTGTTTTGGAAGTGTGCTGTGAAAAGGGTCATTCCTAGCACAGGAGAGAGGCTCCTTACTGGCAACTGCAGTTTGCTTTTGGTCCCTTTTCAACCTGCGTGATACACTCAGAGCATGGCAAGTTGACAGGGATGGGTGGCGCCGTCTTTCCAGGCAGAAGGGCTCGGCAGGGAGCCCTGGGAAGCTCTGGTACGGTCCTTTCCAAAATCCAAGCAGCAGCATCCCTCACTGTGCCATACTAAAATCAGACTTACACAAACTGAGCTTCTACAAGGGCAAAATGAAACCTGCCAATGCTGCGGTGGTATGTCTCTCCTGACATACATGTTCCACTGAGGATATCTGCATGCCTCCTTTCTAGGACCATCCTGTGCACCTCAGGAATATTTCCTATACTCAGAACTTAGAAAGATGGAAAACAGGGTCTGCTACATACCCACGCTCCTCCTTCTTCCCCTGCTTTCAGATGCCCATCCCTGATAAGGGCTCGGTGTGCAACCTGCTCTTCTTCGTGCACAGTGGCCCATCGCTCCCCTCTTCAGAGGCTGCTCACTGCTTTCTGTTCCCTCTTGCAGAGCCTGGCAACCTTTCCATTCAACAGTATTGCTAGACAGCTGAAGCCATGATTACCTTGAAGCAAGCAGAGCTAAGCAGTCTTAACTTTTCTCCCCCCAAAAGCTATTCCGTTGCTCGCTTTCAGGAGCAAAAGGAGGCACCTGCAATGGAAATGTGTAAGTTAGCAGGGGGCAATGACCTCCCTGCTCAATTGCTGCCTTAGCTCTGAAAGGCACAGCCCTTGGATGGCTTTGCTCAGCTCAGCTGAGCCAGCTATGGCACCACTGCCCAAAGCAGGATGGCCGACTTGCATCTGCCTTGCTTTGCACTTTGGCAGAGCTGCAGGCTGGTGGCTGACCATGCTTGTCCCTGCAGCAGCAGCCCCACCTTCTGAGGGGGAAGGCTTTTGCTGTCATGCTCTTTGTGCACTTCACAAACCTCTGCTGTTTCTGCCTCTACTGGCGGTGCTGGTGGCTCCTGGGCCCCCTCGCTGGCCAGCCCAGCCACCTCCTCCCCAAGGAGTTCCTCCTGGTGTTTGATGGGGAACTGCACGAGCTGGGTCACCTGCACACAGCAAAGCAGTGTTTTCACCGTGGGGGCTGAGATGGGCTCAAACAGCCTTTCCCAGCCTGACCCACACTTCTGTGCAGGAAGGCGCAGCCATGGGGTTGCTCTTCCCACTGCTGCCCCACAGCTTTGCTGACAGGAGGAGGCAGCCAGGGCCCTCCAAACAGCAAAGTTGGGCTGGGCTGGGGAGGCTGTAGCCTGGCGGTGAACGCAGCGTACCTTGCCCGTCTCCTGCGCCAGGACATCCAGGGGCAGCTCAAGGGGTGGGCTAAGGAGGTTTGTCCCCAGGCAGATGGACAGGTTCCCAAGCTGTCATCTTGCTCACGGCCACATTCCTGCAGATGCTGCTGAGCAGGTACAGCAACTGCTGCAGCAGCAGCACGTTGGCATCTGGCAACTTGCTGGCCACCCTGAGGGAACAGGAACACAACGTTAATGAAGTTGGTGTTGACCACACAGGTCTCCCAGGCTGATCTCACCCAAGACCACTGCCTGCTTTGCAGCAGAGGGAATGCCTTTGCTGAGATACACAGCCACCTCTCTCCATCCCTGCCCTTCTCAAAGAGGCCTCTGCTGGACCAAGCCCCAGTGCCTGTGGGAAGCACTCCATGGGGAGAAATGCTTTCGTGTGCCCTTTTCCGCCAAACCAAAACACCACAGAAGTGAGAGGTGGCTTGCAGAAACCACGGCTCTTTCAGGCAGGCCATTGCTTTGCAGGCGAGTCCCAGCCTGTGCCGGTCCCTGCGGGCTGCTACCACACTTATTCTCTCAGTGCTGCCAGCCTCTCCTGCCTGCTGGTCTTCTGCATGGCGCTCATCCACTCCTCGTAAAGCTGGCCATCGAGGAGCTTGGAGGGGATCTTCCGGAGGAGGCCCTGCAGTGCCAGGGGCTCCACGTGAGGCTTTGGCCACTGGGCCCCAGGAGCATCCACAGAATCCCCATCCCTCTGGCTCATGAGCAGGCGGCTGGGTTTCTGCTTGTGCTCCACAGGTGCCCATCAGCACCAAGAGAGCCGGGAGCTGCCGGGCTCCAGGTCATCAGGGCTCACCTTCAAGAGGACAGCCAGCAGCAGCAGCACAGGCTGGCTTTCGAGGTGGACCTCCACCCCGCTATTGAGGGCCTCTCTGACCTTGTGGGTGGCACGCTCGTTGGCTGCCTGCCAGCAGATCCCCTCCGTGGATGGCCTGTGCTCACTGAGCAGAGCCAGCAGGTCCTGAGGGCACAGGGGAGGAGAGTTGCTGGGTTGGAGACAGGCCCTGAGCTAGGTGCTTGGGACAGCCCCTCTCTGGAGGTGCCAGTGGGGTGGGACGGGAAGGGATAGGATGAGCTGGGATGGGATGGGATGGGGACCCCTTGTCTCCATCCATTACCACCATTCAGGTTATGCTGTCTTACCTGAATGGGCTGGGGCAGCATGCCATCCTGGCTGCAGAGGTCTCCCTGGGGGTGCCAAAGAGAGCTCCCGTGCAAGCAGAGCCTAATGGCCCTGGCGCCTCTGGTGCAACTGAGGTCCCTGGCCGTGCAAATGGCCAGGGCAGCCTCATCCTGCTCCTGCAGGACCTGCCTGCTGCCAAGGGAATCAAAGCAAAGAGCCATGGAGGAGAAGCACCAGGAGAGTGCTCCCAGACTCCCTCAGTGCTGTCCCCCCACTGTCAATGCCACAGGAGAGGCAGTGTTGCTTGGGAACAAGGGGCCCAGGGCTCAGCTCTCTCCCGCTGCCGAGCGATGGGGATGGACGTGCCCTGTGGGAAGGGCAGCGGCAGCCCCATTGCAGCAGGCATGCCCGCCTGCAAGAGCAGGAGAGAAGGGCCATCCTGCCCCTGTCCTCTCCAAACTCACCATCCACGTGGCCACGTCCGCCATCACTGCTGGAAGAGGTGGGAGGTGGCAGCTGCTTGGCACAAGCCTGCAAGAAATGGGTTGCACTCACCAAACAGCCCCCCATCACAAAGGGTCCCCCGCGAGCTGCATCAGCCCCTGGCCGTGTATGAGAGGTGAGGATGGAGAGATTGCGCCTCAAGTGACCCTGACCTGAGCCTGGCACTGAAGCAGCTTCTCCAGGCTGTTGGCATCCAGTGTCGTTGCCTGGGCAAGGGGAAAAGAGCAGGAGGTGAGGAGCGGTGCAGCTGATGCTGGGCTGGGGCAGCCCCTGGGGGCTGAGCAGGGGCAGGAGGGACACTCACAGCCTTGCGGCCCCTCAGCTCCTTCAGCACGAACCGGATGGATGGCAGCTGTGTCACCCTGCACTCCTGCCGGTGGCCTGTGCACAGGGAAGGGGCAGAGAAAGAGCTGCATGAGACTCAAGCCAGCTCTTCTCTCTGCTGCCAGCCTGGGGAGCGCTTCCATGCAGCCTGGAATGGCTGGTGCCACCCGGCAGCGGAGCAGGAGCAGCGGGAGTGGTGAGGATGGGGATGGGTAGGAGTGGGATTGACACAGCTGGATGAAGCAGCTTCGGCATCTGTGGCTGCTCAGCAATGGGGACTCCTCTGCCTGCAGCTGTGGGGACACCTCTGCCTGCAGTCTCTGGGGCACCTCTGCCAAGCCCAGCAGAGGTGCTTCATTATTGTTTGTATGTCATGCATGGAACATCCCCCCATGATGGGAGCACAGGCTGCCCTGAGCCCTGTGCTTCAGTGCCAGGCAGGGCTTACCCAAGGAGGGTGCTAAGCCAGAGCTCCTTCACTGCCTGGGAGCTGCCAAAAGAGAGGAGAAACAGCCTGAGTGCCTGCTGTGCCCCAGCAGGTGATGCCCCATGGGGCAGGACAGAGGTGCTGCCCACCCCTCTGGTGGGACGTTGCACCGGGACTCACCAGAAGGTGACGATGCAGGAGCCACAGGGCCAGAGGAAGACAAGGGAGCTGACAGTCTTCCCTTCCTCCTCATCCTCAGCGGCATCCCCAGCTGAGCCCTTCCTGCGACTCAGCACCTGGAGCACACCCAGAGCCAGGCAGAGCAGTGGGCTCAGGGTGCTGCCACGTCTGCAGAGAGGAGCAGCAGGGAGTGACCTGGAGGTGGCCGAGCCTGCTGGCTCCCCTCTAGTGCCTGCCTGCCATGGGCACAGACGTGGATGCATCCAGCAGCAGGGTGCCGGGGGCCTGGGGCTGCTCCTTGGCTGTCCCTGCTCTGGTGCCCTGGTGCCAGGGCCATGGTTTGGCAGGAAAGGCAGCTGGGCTCTGCCAGTCTTACTTTGTCTTGGCGATGACCACGCTGTCCTTGAAGAGGAGGAGGTCCCTCTTCATCCCCTGGCCGTGGCCCTGGGTCACCCACACATGCACCCGCAGCAGCGGCTCGGGCGATGCCTGGTCAGGCGTGCACTGCTCCTCGGGGTCAGGGTCATCCCTGCAGGGCAGATGGCATCAAGCATGAGCAAGGCGGCTGCTTTGGGGTGCAGCTGTGCCAGCGCGTCCCCGAGCCATGGGGGAACCCGCCTGGACCCGCAGCAGCAGAGCCACTGGCCCATCCTCACAGGGCCGGGAGAAGACCCGTAAATAGAAAGCTTGTGAAGCTCAAGACAGGAATGCTCCTCCACAGGAGAAAAGTACCCCTAGTGCCACTGGTGCTGCTGCACACAGCACCATCCCTGCAGGCACTGAGGCCATTGCCAGCCAAGCACCGGGTTAGAATGGAACACCATAGCGACCTCAGCTCTGGAATCTGGGGGTCCAGGTGGGGCAGGGCACTGTGGGGCTCTCCCCAGTATGCCCATATCCAGCCCTGGCCCCAAGGACTGCTCCCATACACTGCAGTGTCCACCAAGTCATGGCTCCTGTAGCCATGGTCTTCTGACTCACAGGAACAGGGAGCCCCAGGTCTACCATGCACACTGAGGGAAAGCAAAAATCGGGGTGTCAATAGGAATTGTCATTCAGTACCAATCACTTCTGAGGCAACTTGACTGAAGCAGCTTGAACCCCTTTGTATGCTGCCAGCACCTCTTTTTCAATTGGGATATAGCTGGCCTCAGATCCTCTGTATCCCCATCTCCAAAAGCTGAGGGGTTGACCTCGAGTCTCCCCCAGAGCTTTCTGCCAGTGGCTCCAGGTAGGACCATTCTCCCCAGCTGCGGTATACAGTACATTTTTTACATCTGGCCCAGTCTGAACTGGTCCAAGTGCTGCTTCATAAACTATCTCTCGTTTAATTTGCTCAAAGGCATGTTGTTGCTCAGGGCCCCCTTTAAAATCAGTCTTCTACTGGGTCAGGTGATAGAGAGGGCTTACAATCAAACTGTAATTTGGGATGTGCATTCTCCAGAGCCCCACAGCACCCAAGAAATCTTGTGTTTCTTTCTTATTAGTTGGTAGAGACATTGCTGTTATCTTGTTGATCACATCTGTGGGGATCTGGCAACGTCCATCTTGCCATTTTATTCCCAAAAATTGAATCTCCTGTACAGGTTCCTTGAACTTACTCTGCATTATGTCAAAACCAGCTTCTATCAGGATTTGGATTATTTTTCTCCCTTTCTCAAAAACTTCTTCCTCTGTATCATAAAATAGTTAAGCTTGCAAAGGACCTTAAGATCATCTAGTTCCTACCCCCCTACCATTGGCAGGGACACCTCACACTAAACCATGCCATCCAAACACAATAATGTAATCAATGTATTGCAAGTGTTCTGGAGCTTGCCCGTGTTCCAGTGTAGTCTGGATCTGTCCATGGCAGACGGTAGGGCTCTGTTTCCACCCCTGGGGCAGTCGGTTCCAAGTGTATTGGACACCCCTCCCAGTAAAAGCGAACTGTGCCCTGCACTCTGCTGCCAAAGGAATTGAGAAAAATGCATTGGCAATATCAATCGTGGCATACCACTTGGCTGCCTTTGACTCCAGCTCATACTAAAATTCTACCATGTCTGGTATGGCAGCACTCAATGGTGTGTTCACAAATATGTAACGGGTGGGTGTCAGGATGATGGAGCTAGGTGTTTTTCAGTGATATCCAGTGATAGGACAAGGGGCAGTGGGTGTAAACTGGAGCATAGAAGGTTCCACGTTAACATCAGGAAGAACTTCTTTACTGTGAGAGTGACAGAGCACTGGAACAGGTTGCCCAGGGGGGTTATGGAGTCTCCCACATTGGAGATATTCAAGGCTCCCCTGGACAAGTTCCTGTGTGATGTACTCTAGGTTACCCTGCTCTTGCAGGGGGGTTGGACTAGATGATCTCTTGAGGTCCCTTCCAACCCTTGGGATTCTGTGATTCTGTGATTCTGTGATTCTGTGGTGTGACTTCATTCAGGCCATGGTAGTCTACTGTTAGTCTTCACTCTCTGTTAGAATTTCACACTGGCCATATGGGGCTATTAAAGGGCAACTTTTCCTTCACAGCTGCCAAAAGCCGCCTCCAGAGGCTGAGGACTTGTTTCTCTTTTACAATTGCTTTGTCAATTACCTCCTTCCCTAGCAAGTGATCCCAGCTGCTTGGTTTCCCTACCTTGTAGTTCGTGACTGTTGGCCCCATTGTCCCAGCACTGGAGCTACCAGGTGACAATGTGGTCATCTGGAAGACAGCCAAAATCTTTTTGTATATTCCACAGCTCAGTCAAGGTCAGGGGTCTAGAAATTACCTCTTCTTCCTCCTCTGATTCATGTAGTAATCCTATGGTTCAAATGTCGCTCCTCTAGTTTGAGCACTGAGTCTTTGTCTTCCTTCACTGCACAAGCTGTTTTTTGCACCTTTCATTAGTTTTTTTTCTTGCTTATAGAGGCTACTGATACTGGCATGGATTGATCCTTTGGTTGAGCTGCAGTGTCTGTCACTGGGGCTGGAGTGGCTGCAGTATCTTTCACTGGAGTTGGAGTGGCTGTAGTGTCTTTCACTGGGGTTGCAGTGGCTGCAGTGTCAGGGTTTGAGTAGCTGCTGTGCTTGTACCTGAAGTTAGGGCAGCTGCTGTGCTTGGAGTTGGAGTAGCTGCGCTGTCTGTTGCTGTCACAGTTTGAGGAGCTGTTGTGTTTGTCACTGGAGTTGGAGTAGCTGCTGTGCTTGGGGTTTCAGTAGCTGTGTTGCCTGTTGCTGTCAGGGTTTGAGTATCTGTTGTGCTTGTTGCTTGAAGTTGAGGGAGCTGCTGTGCTTGAGGTTTGAGTAGCTGCATTGTCTGTCACTTTGCCATCAGATCCAGAGACATCTTTTTCCTGCTCCTTACAGAACAGGTCTCTTTAAGAGTAGGCCAAGCCCCAGCACATTGCAGCGAATTGTCTCTCTCGTATTGCACACCTCATCTAAGTGTTCTGTTATTTTTTCCGGATTCCACATTTGTTCAAGAATGAAATTTCAAAGCACTGGAGGAGCCAACTGGCCTAGATACTTGCCACTCAATCACACACACCCTGCCACTCATGACTGTCCAGCCTCAGGGAAGATCTCTTGGTAGTATTTTTAAATAGTTTTTTAACCTTAGACAAGACCCAAGGCTGACCCTGCTTAGCTTCTGAGATTGGACGAGATTGGACAAACTGGGCGTTCTGAGTGGTCACACCATAAGCAAAACACAGACAGCATATTCAGCAACAAGCAGGCTCCCAGCAAAGGGACCAGGATGCTTTCAAGGGCATTGAAAGGATATTCAAGATCTTTAACATTTTCAGAATTTACTTCTACTATAAATAGCCTAGTGGGGGAGCAGAGGGTGTGCAGGAACATCTCCTACATAGGTTGACTGCCCGAGGGAAGGAAAGAAAAGATGTCTAATTGTTAAAAATTCCCATTATATGTCTCCCATAATATAGAGGTGATGACCACTCTGAGAACACATGCCAGCCCAGTTTCATGATCAATGAGTCTATTGTATTAGAAGTAATTACCATAAAGTACAGTGAAACGAGAACATTAGCCCAGGCCCCAAAGCCAATAAACGCTGAAACAGCAAATACTGTCTGCAAATAAGGTGGATAAGAGAAGGCTGCATGGAGACCTCATAGCAGCTTTCCAGTATCTGAAGGGGGGCTATAGGGATGCTGGGGATGGACTATTCATTCGGGACTGTACTGATAGGACAAGAAGTAACGGGTTAAAACTTAAAATGGGAAGTTTAGATTGGATGTAAGGAAGAAATTCTTTAATGTGAGGGTGGTGAGGCACTGGAATGGGATGCCCAGGGAGGTTGTGAATGATCCATCCCTGGCAGTGTTCAAGGCCAGGCTGGACAGATCCTTGGGAGGCATGGTTTAGTGTGAGGTGTCCCAGCCCATGGCAGGGAGGTTGAAACTAGTTGATCTTAAGGTCCTTTCCAACCCTAACGATTCTAGGATTCTATGATTGTGTGATCAGGCTGATACTCTGAGATCAAGCACAACGACTCTGAGAGCAAATAAATCAACGCTGTGTTGATTGACTATTAATCCAGAACAATAAATGCTTATCGCAAATACAATTAAACACACCCTGGTCAGATCTGTTTTTATCTCAACACTTTGTGTCCCACACTGGGCACCAAAAAGGACTGTCATGGTTCAAGCCCATCTGGTAACTCAGAACTATGCATCCACTCACTCATTCTCCCCACTTTTCCCCACCCACCTTCTCCCAGAGGGATGGGGAGGAGAACTGAAAGAATGTAAGTCCCACAATTTGAGATAAGAACTGTCCAGTAACTAAGGCATAATACAAAATTACTACTACCAATAATAATAATAATAATAATGATAATAATAAAAGTAGTAGTAGTAGTAGTAGTAGTAATGGAAAGAAAGAGGGAATATAAATTTAAAAGGGGAAAGGAAAAAATGCCCAATAAACACAAGTGATGAACTATACAGTAGTTCACCACAAGCCAGCTGATACCCAGCCAGACCCAAGCAACGATCTGGGCCTTCCGAGTAAACTTCCCTCAGTTTATATACTGAGCATGAATACCGAGTATGGAATACCCCTTTGACTACTTTGGGTCAGGTGTCCTGTCTCTGTTTCCTCCTGGCTTCTTGTGCCCCTCCTCAAGGGAGAGTATGAGACTGAAAAGTCCTTGATCGGGGTAAGCATTACTTAGCAACAACTAAAAACATCGGTGTTACCGGCACTGTTCTCAGGCTAAATTAAAAAACACAGCACTGCACCAGCTACTAAGAAGGAGAAAAGTTACAGCTGAATCCAGAACACTCACACAGGCTTTTCTTGTAGTAAATTGAGATAGAGAAGCTTTTAGAGCATTATTCATCTTATTCTGAAGTTGCATTCTAAGTAGTAGTAAAGCAGTATTCTAAGGTAGGTCAGATTAAGTGCAAATAAACCCCAGCTTTTCTTTCCACTGATAAGAAAAGGAGCCTGGAGTGATGAGCACAGAAGTACATTTCACTCTAGGCATCTGAAATCAGGTGTAAAGAGATGCTTCTGTCCGCTTCACATTCAGGGCTATCCTATGGGAATGAAAATACTTGAAGGGGATTGATATTTTTCGTGAACTACACAATAAGAAAGTCTCCTAAGAGTATTCCTGTTTTCCTTCCAGTGACATGTCTAATTTCCAGGATTGAGGTCAAAGGAATGGGATTAGATTAGTCATTAGATTGAAGAGTAACAGGTTCTTTAGATTGAAGAGTAACAGGTTCTTCCTTCCAGTCATTAGATTGAAGAGTAACAGGTTCTTCCTTCCATCAGGCCCTTTGTTAGTCTACCTTTACTCAGAACGAATGAAGGTTCTCAAACCTTTTCTGTATCCTGGCAGTTCAGGTAAAAGGGAGAAATATTGTAAGTCCTCTTTTGACTGTCAAAAGCCTAAAATCTGACTTTAGTGCTTCCTGAGAAGGTGCTCTAACCACTAGTTTATTTGCACATATCAACTGGTTTACATCTTCCTTAAAACAAACAGATGATAAAGACTCACA